AGGCAAACTTCAAAAGTTTCAGAGTTTGGGTTCAGTTCCAGTAAGCACACATGCACATTTGAGTGATTATCTCCTTTCACGTCTGCAAAATTGTACTGGAATTCTGACAAAAGCAAACTTTCTTCTCCTGGGATCATTCAACACTTTTTGTCATGACTGCAAAGCAAGCTCCTTTCTCTTGGGATAATTCAGCACTTTTAGTCATGACTGCAAATGCAGAGGTACAGTTATAAAAAATAAAGTGTTCATCTCTAGTCTAATGGGATAAATACTAAAGAAAATTCAAAAATGAGGCCTGAAAATTGCGTTTTGCAAGATGACATTTAAAATATATAAGTATAGATGTATGCAAGGTAAAAATAAAAAAATTGATTTTTTCTTTTTGGGAGGACAGGAGAAAATGGTCAGTTTTTGCGCCTTCTTGAGGTATTCTCTCAATGTCTGCACATCTGATAACTGAAGTTAAATCAATTGTCAAGGTCAGAAGACTCTTAAATATGAACACATTTTATTCATTCTTTAAAAGAGAAAGATTATTTTTAAATATCTCTTTTTTGCCTTTCCATGCAAGCTAACAATAAATTATGAAGTTAGCTAAAAGTTGAGAGCTTTAGACTATCATACAATTTGACTTTAGCTAAAGTTAAAATTTCTAGGCAAAAATAATATTGTGATTTTATACAGAGGGAGAGGGAGGAAATGCTGCATACATGTGAAGAAGTGCCTGCCCACAAACCCAGAGTGAACACAATGAGATGGAGAAGCCGCAACACTGAACCAGCTCTGATGAAAACTCAGACCACGCATTACTGAGAGTCGTATGTGAAATGACTTCTGTCTGCGACAAATAATAAAGTAGAATTAAATTTTGCTTAGGCTCTTTGTAAAATATTCTATTTTATTTACAAAAAGCAAAGAAAAATTATGTTTGATACTAATTTCAGTGAAATGTGTAAGACCTGTGTTTATTTGCCTAACTGTAGGCACTTCTCTAAGTCGAGAAACTTCAGAATGGAAACTTTCAAAATCTGTATGTTGACAGTGAAAAGAGATAGACATTTCAGAAGGTGACTGAATCACTATGTGCAGGCACTTGCCTTTCTTTTTTGATCAAGGAGAAAGTCAAGGGCAAATGTTGCCAAAATGTAAGTTTTTCAGTGAAATGCCTAAACTTATGCATAAAAACAAGCAGATGCAGCTTGTTTTTATCAGCTTTGATCATCACAGTTTTAAATGTGAAAACATAACACATATTCAGAAATCGAGAGGAAATGTTAAATATACTAAATAATCAGTTATAACTACGTATAATTAAAATATTGAATCTATTTAAATGTATGCTGTCATATTTGGAGCTGGCTGAACAAACCCATTCTCAAATGAAGCAGGAAGATTTATGAAAGTCACAACCAGGCAAAGTAAAAATCTATCTCTCAGCTTGTGACCTGAGAGGTGCTTACACAACCTCTATGTAAGTCAGTGAGAGTGTTACACTCAAAGAATGAAAATGATTAACCGGGTCAGAAGGTTTCTCAGAAGTTCAGGTCACAAAGCTGCACAGCCGTACTAATGTCTTGTGTGGTTATGGCCTGAAAAATATTTCCAGGCTACTGATATCTTGGGAGGATCGAAGGACAAGTAATTCATGGCTGATGCAATACAGGCTGGGAGATCAGTAGATGTGGAAAAGAATGAGTGACAGGATCAAAGCAACACATGAGGAAAATCATCTTTGCAGAAGTATCCCAGATTGGTATGTGGTGCAAAAGTCCATGTTTGAGTATCAGAGGGAAACACTGAGGTAACTGAGAAGAGAAACAGTGAGAGCCTGGAGGAAAATTTTGGTTGTGAGGTGAGGGATGACATGAAATGCTGTATCTTTGAGTAGTTATGAAGAAACAAACATATGAAAATTAAACACAGCCTAGTAAAAAAATTGTAGTGGAAAATCCACTTGAAAAGATGTCTCTCAGATTAGAGACCACAGTGACAGGCAGGACAGTTCACTATTGTTTAAAGCAGAAATATATTAGAATGACGATCTGGAGAAGGAACATTGTAGCCCTGTCATGCCCGAGCTGATGGATAAGCATCTATGAAAGGATGTCTGAGACTATACTAAACAGGAGACATATGAGGGAGATACGTATATCTATAGATTGTCAGCAGAGCTGGAAACTGAATTTGGGCATAAGAAAATTCAAGGAAGTATGTCACAGAAGGAAGAGTCCATAAACAGGTCCTGTGAAACTTGTAGCGGAAGGTGGAGGGATAAATTAAATCATTCAAGGGACACATAAGGAGAACCATCAGACGGGAGGGCTGAAGAAGACAACGATATCAAGACCCAACAAGACTTTAGGAAGAAGAGTGCAGTCAGCTAAATCAAGGTCACCAAAGTCTAAAGGAAGGTTTGAATGGAATATCAGTTCTGAGGTTTGGACATGAAAAATCAGTCAGTTTGGGGGAAACTGATGCAGTGGAGTACATGAAGAACAGAAATTGGATTACTGATAATTTTCTGTGGCAGAAAGAGAGAGAGAGAGAAAGGAACAGCTATGAAGGAAAAAGGGGGAACAAGATTTTGACAGTGGCATGTTGTTTATTGCGATTATTTGTAACGTAAAACTGAGGTCAAGAGGCAAGGATGTCTCCCTGAGGCTCAGAGAGAGCTGGTCGTGGTCACAGAGGCAGATGCTGAGAAAGAAGGAGCTTTTTGACACCTGCATAGGAAGATATTAAAAATGTTTTCTCTGTGATAATTCTGTGAGAAAGAAAAACTAAAAATATAAATAGAAAACAAAAACCTCCAAAATAAGATACATGGATTTGGGGAGAAAATTGAAAATGGCAGACAGGCTGGTCTGCTTCAATGAATTTGCATCATATATGCTTCTCAGTGGAACATCCACAAGATGTATACCTTACACAAAAATCAGTAGTGACAGCCTAGATATTCATTTAATAGTCTGGAAGTACCTCCCATGCAGAGTCTGAAATTTTTGCGAATGGTTGGGAAACAACTCTCATGAGACTTCTTGGCAGACCTGTTCTCTACCAGTTTTGAGAACATTATATCTTCTGAAAAATAGTAATAATAATAATAAAAAAAACTTTTTTGTACGGCATGAAAGACATATGACTAAGAAATTAATTGTCTATCTGTTTATAATTAAAGTTTCAGGAGTTTTCATAAATTGTAATATATAACATGCTAACATTAAGTCATTTTTAATTAAGCTTTTATTTTAAGATTTTTTTTAAGTAAGCGTCATAAGTTTTATACCAAAGATACTTCTTTTTGTGAGCCTTGCTGGGAGAAAATAATTTTGAGGTTTAAGGATAAAAGAGCAAAAAGAAGGACAAAGGGAACCTATGGACTTTTCTAAAATTTAATGCCATAGAAATTATTTGAAACATCATAAAAAACATCACTCCCTAGTGTAAATTAGTGTAGTTTGCCTGAATTCAGTGAAATTACAAGAATTCGTATCAATGAAGGGCCTAGTCTTACTACTTTAAAACACCTTCATTACTTCCTGCAAGCTTCAAAGGAAAATGAACCTTCTACTCTGTGATAAGCTGTGGCTTTTGAACATTTCAAGGTCATTTACTTCTTCTCAAACACCTATTTCTTTTAGAATGGTGCATTTTTACCTTTGGAATTGCATTGGAAGATAAAATTTAACTAAAAACTCATTACTCCTATATATTACTAGATACAAATAAGTTTTTTGATTTGCCTCCTATGTTAATTCTGCGACAAAAATCAGCCCCTACAGAGGCCTTTTTCTCTTGTAAATTTTAAACTTTTGCTTCAATTTTTTAAATTTTTATCTGGAAGAAATTTAACTGAAATTGGACACTGAAATTCCCACATACCTCATTACAACAAGAAATCCAGTCATGCTCTGAACAAGAAATAAATTAAAAAGAATGTTCATAGTCACTTTTATTATAAGACTTCCACTGATGTCACTCAGTTCTATTATAAACCTTTCATTTCTGATTCAGAGTTGTTTCTATCAAATGTAAAGACTGACCTGAGAATTACAAATATAGCCAAGATTATATTACTAGTTTCTAAAGGATTTCTGTGTTTCTTGTTTTTATATGTCATGCGACTTTCCTAAAAAATAAGATCAATTATCTAAACTACACACTTGGACCCAAATATAAAACTTATAACTTACCAATTAAAAGAAAAAAAATCCCCTTATAGTTCAGATATGAATTCCAGATGCAAATACAGAAAGCAGACTCAGATTTTACTTAGAACCCTTCTTTTCTGTCTCTGCTACCGATAAGATACCTACATGTGCATATGTGAATGTACATGTTAAAAAAAAAAAGACGGAAAGGAACTTCAATTATCTGCATGATTCTACATTTTCAAAATCTGATCACACATTTATGAGTGATAATAGGCACAACAAGTATCTAAATATACTTGCAACTATGCAACTGGGGACCAGTTTTTTATTTGTGTTGCTTAGTTCTTTACCTAGTAAACAGAGCTAACAAACAAGCTAACAAACTATTATATAATAAACGCAAAACCGTGTGAGGTGGAGGAAATTCTTGATTTTAACACAGAATTCTCATGCAAACGCATTATTGTCCTGTATGCCGTATGTTATATGGGACAATTTCTGCCCAGCATATATTATAAAATGAAACCATTTTTAAATTTCAGACTCAGCCTATGGATACAGACCATACATGTATCCAAGTGAGAGAATTCACTGGTGACATTTAGTAACAAAATGGGTAGCATAATCTTTTATATACCTTCAGTCAGTCACATACCAGGAATTCCTGGTTTTCTTCTACCCTTTTCTCTTTTGAAAACACAGAAAGGCAGGGCCAGATTCTCTGCAGGGCCTGCAGATTTCAGATTTAGATCAATGCACCCCACCGCTGATCTCACCCACAGTTTTGTATTTTATGAAAAATCAATGTAAATTATGTTATGACTTTCAAGTTTGAGTTGGACTCACCTTTCTCAGGTCATGCCTCCCCAGCTGGACACTGTCAGATTCGAGCTTTTAGTAGAACTAATTAGCTCTATCACAGCATGAGCTAATGCAACTGGATGGACTCCAAACTGGAGCTACCTCACACCCATCTGTCTCAGGGAACGGGCCGAGAACCGTGGTCTGTCTGCGTGTCGCTGTGCCTTAAGCCTCCAGCATATGTTTGCCTCCAATTTCACAATCCAATTCTTAGTGTGAAACCAGAAGTGTAAAATTCTGAGCTGACTAGAAAACTGTGAAAGTATTTTGGTTCTGTTTAACAGGAACAGTGCTTGCAATAAAATGGAGCACTTCCTGCTCTTTCCTTTATTTTAGACTAACTGAAAGTACAAACTTTGGCCAGTCACACAACCCTATTGCACAGCCAGTGCCTAGCTGGTGTGTGTAATTCTCAAAATCTGCATGTGATATAAACAGAAAAACAGGGCAAGTTTATTGTAGGGACAACGGTAATGACTTGCCTTAAGCTATAGAAAAAACTCAATTGCATGTTAATATTAAAGTGGCCAGGAGTAAATCCAAAACAGATATTTGCAACAGTACTAATAACTGGAATAACATAGTTGGTCTACACTGATCTAATAATTAAACTGCTAGAGGCTCTAGAATCATGAGAGTCATTCAGTAATATTAAACATAACTAAAATTAAGAGCGCAACCAGCTGCTGATAAAGAAAAGGAGAAAAATTCGGACTTTTAGAGCTAGATTTCCCTCTTGTTTACCTCAGGGTCTTTTCTATATGAATAGAAATGGAAATGAATGGAAATACAGTCTAGCAGGAAGTAAGGGTGAAACAGGCAACCTGACCTCCACTGAGGGCTTTAAGCTCCCCCGCACTTTCTGAATGTGAGCGGGCCTGACCAAGCCGGGAATGTGCTGACTGCAACTACTATCCCTGGTCAATGTAATGTGGATCGCTGATATTTGCTCCCCATTTCTCAAGGTCTTCAGGAGAGGAGAGCAAGAACTCACTTCCTGCAGGCAGTACAGTGCTCACTGGATAACAGCTGCACTCTTGAGCAGAAGTTATTTCAGATTTAATTAATACTTATAAAATTCCCTGGAGTCTTCAAAATAACGTTGCGGCTCATACTGAAAAGCAAATGACATCCCTTTGGCTGAAAGCTTCGATTAGGCTCTTCCTCCTCCTTCTCGTTCCTGGCAGTATTGCTGTGAGAACGGCAACAGCCAGGCGTGTGACCTGACCCAAAGAAGCAAGCTTGTCCTTCAAATGGCCACGTTGCTGCAAGGAGCAACTCACTCATGCTGCATAATAGAGCTTGAGGCTGTGCCGGCAGCTTATTGTTTCTCTCACTCCCCCTTCTCCCTCCTCGAAAAGCCGGGCTGCAATCTGAGACAAATAGTTGCACTGTGTCTGCTCGCTGCATGAGACGAGGTGAGCTGGGGAATGGTGGCTGCCAGGTTCCAGATTGATGGCGTGTCAAAACCCCAGAGCAAGATATGCTGGCAGCAAAGTGATCCTCCGTGGGGAATCCGATATAATATGCTTTCCAGATTTCTGGGCCAGCTTCCAACTTCTCACTCCTATGTAAGCAACAACTATCCCTCATGGGGGAGACGAAGGGCCCTTGCACTTGCTGCTGATGACTGGCCTAATAAATGTGTTTAACATATGTATGTTTATAAAGCAGCCATAGGGAAGCAATTTGACTACCTCTTTCCACATATATCTTCCTCCTGCCTGCCTGAGGGCTGGCATAATGCCAGTTTGAAGACAACGCAGTATAAACTTGACAGCCACCTATTCATGCATATGGTCATTCGGCATACTGTTCCTTTGAGATTACTCCTCCTAGGCTAACTATGCTGCCAGAGGAAATTACAATACTGTTTCCATTTTATGATGCAGATAATCAACATTATAATATTCATGTTATCTCTGAATACTGGAATTTTCCAAGTCTCCAGAGTAACTGAGCTATTGTGACTGTTTCGTCCACCAAGGGTCTGAATCAATTCCCAAACGCCTCCTTTGACATTAATGTCATGCAAACTCTCAGAAACCCTAGTTTATAGTTATTCTTCTCGTGAGGATCGTGCACAGGTAATGGTCAGTGCAACAGAATCAGAATTTTCTCTATATCTCTTAAGCACCTTTCCCCAAGGGTGATTGTCCCTTCTTTCCTCTGAAGTCTGCAGAAATTTCACCACATTATGACAATTGTCTGCAAGGGTGGTTGCCCTCTGAACAATTCTCTGGTGAAACAATAAGTGAAAGAGTAAAGATATGTCTTATATTAATGGAAAGTAAAGTAGTTGCCATGTAACCGGCAGATGATGTTTTGATATTGGAATTCAGAGTGTGATTAGTATGCTCTAACTTCAGTAACTAAAATGTCCAGCCTATGGTATAATCTTTGGAGAGATACAGACATCTCCAAAGGCTGAATCATCCCTCTTCATAGGCACATGACTAAAACAGACAGGATGAATTATCTTCTGGGAGTAGTCTCTGTCCATTGATTATAGAGGAAGCCAGAACAACTGACTAAAACTGGAGTACCCTATTTTAGATAGCTAAAATTGGGTGAGACTAATTCAACCCTAGAGCTGTACCACATTTATAAGAGTAGCCTAAATTTAGCAGAACTCAATAAATTCTACTTACAAAGAAGATTTCTGTTCTTCAAATGAGGAGCTCTTGGGACTACCTTACAGGTAGCTTAAGGGTTGAGTAGTGAAGCTTCATTTGCAAGAAAGCAGTCTTAGATTCAGCCTGCTACTTTAAAGAATAATTTGGCTGAGCCTGTTTGCCACAGTTATATTTGTTTATCATATTCCATTACCAGCACTCATTGCATTGTATTGGAACACAGCCCTACCAAATATGTCACTGGGCTATGTCACTGGAAAATAAAGAAGGAATACCAAAATCAAAGCTGGAAACTTAGCCTTGGATCATCTCATGTTCACTTTGACAGACTTATGAACTAGCTTAGCCAGGAAAAGGTGACAAAAAAAACCTATCTTCTGGTTCACAGCCCTGTTTAGCTCTAAGGAAAGAGACAAAATATTATCCTGTAAAAGAATAGTGAGATATTTCTCAGACCTGGGATAAAACTACCATACCATTTTTGTATTTAGGCATTATCACAAATCGTAGCAAGTATAAGATAGCACTTTTTCATCAGTTACATGAGTTAAATTCTCCTGTATTGATACTGTGGTGCTCTTATGACCAACTGTAGGTATAGGCGAATTAGGATACATAGTTTCCTTAGAGTCATCTGCCAAGGAAATATCAATGTTTTTCCAGGAATGTGTAATACCACAGTCAATGAATGGGTATCCAGACTTCAAGCAATGTCCGAGAGAGCTGTTAATTTGCTTCTAGACATGACTGGCCATCTTGGATTTATCCAAGGAGTATTTATCTTATTTTCTCTCTTTCCTTACCTCTGGTTCCCTATTTTCATGAACTCTCATATTGACCACCTAGGATTTTTTTTCCTTTGTATTGTCTAGTGACAGTGAGAATCTATTGCCTTCTTCTTCAATGCATATGGGAGGGAGGAAGCTCCTACAGAGTGATTGACTGACCCTTGGGAACATTAGTAAAAGAAGATTAAGTTGGCTATGAAATGAGGAAGCTATCAGAAGGTGGACATTCAGGCAAGATTTTAATTAAGTTATTCAAATCATTGTAAAGAATAAAAATATGGAAAATAAAATAAAAAAAGAAATTGCCTTTCTCTTTCTTTAGTCACTAAATACTAAAATCTAAAAAGTGTCCCATTGCCTTCTGTACTATCTAGCAAATGGTATGGAGTTGCCCATTGAAATGAAAAGTTGTGCAGGCAAAGGAAGACCACCCATAGTGAAATTACTTAAAATACTTTGGCTACTATTTTTTAAAAGAATGGCATTTTCTTAAGTGAGCAGGTTTGCAGATAAATATTCAGAAATCTTAATAAGAACTGCTAGGTGCTTTCCTTGCTTTTTAGAAAACCAGACAATTCATGGAGATGCTGTCAAACATTTTTTTTTTTTAATGGTGGTGTACACATCCCTGTTATCCACTTTAAGGGAATGCTCAAGCTTCATTCAATAGGAGTTTGAATAGAATTACATTACACTGAAGCATGTTAATACAGTATTCTAAGTGACATTGTGTAGACCTCAACTTAATCACTACAAGCATGAAATGGAGTATGACCTTTCAGGTTATGGATATAGTTTTTCCATACTGAATGTAACTTCTTTTTGTTTTCCAGACCAGGATATTTTATGGCAATACCAAAAATAATTGAATACTGCTAAAAATTTATAAATGAATGTGTTATTAGGTTATTTTATTTCATAAACACCTTACCTATTTTACTGAGTTCACTCACAGGCCTTGACAATTTATTGGCATTTACTGTTTAGCAGCCTAGTTTCACTGTGTTACCTTAATAACACTGTGTTGAGTTACATAAGAGGTGATTTATATGAACCGTGGAAGCCAACATCATCAACTCACCTCTGCTTGTCACAAAGAAAACTACCTTCCTGTTGTTGACTTAATGCTCTGAATGTTTACTTATAATTTTACTGATTTTTCTTCATTGTGAAGATACATTAAACTTAGAACTGTTTCGAAATCAGAATTAGAAAGGAAGAAAAATAGCTGCTTTTAAAGAAAAAGCTGTTGCTTTTCCCCAAATAGACCTGGGAGCATAAATCTGACTAACCTACAACAAAATTAATGAAGTCATTCATAAGGTACTTTAGTTTGAATGACAGACCGTTTCCTCTGGACAACTGTGACTTAAGTAATGATTGCAAAGCAGTCATAAATTTTCTGCTGAATTCTTCCCAGTGTGTTTGCACCTATGTTAATTTTTGCAGATACTTTCTTTTGCCTGGTATTTCCAAATACCTTTTTAGACAGAGACTGTAACCCAGCAATCCTAAAAGCATCAAGCTACAGTGCTTGCGGTGTCTTGAGTCTATTTCATAAGAGCATCCCTCATGAAAGTTCACTTATTCTGAAGTAATAATCAGTGACTAACAATACTTTGTATTCCCATTGAAATTTCCAGCAGATAAGAGAGAAATAGGCAAGTGATATTATGTATGTTTCAGGGTTGGATACCGTTTAGTTTGCATGTAACTACTATTAGTCCCATTCAAC